TAATCTGAAATTTTTTATTCTACTTTCTTTTTTAGTCAATAATGCATTTTAAATAAAAATACTTTTATTAGAACTTATTTTTTGACAATTTTTTTTCCTTCACTATATCGTCATAAGTAAAGATAGTTGGACGTGAGAAAAACCTGCAGGTTCAGGTTATTGTTTTAAAGAGAACTTACTGCCCATAAAATTTTATGCACAGTCATTTCAGCTTTATTTTAAGACTTTGAGCCATTGGAAATTACATGAAAAGGGTCGTGTAGGCTTAAAAATACAAGTAGCGTTCTACAGGGGAATTAGATCAGTGACTTTCCGAGTTTTTTAACTGGTGATAAATTGCCCACTGAGTTTATTTTGTATTTTATTGTTGGAACTGACGTTTCGTTGTAAAAAAGGTAAATTTATTCTCTTAATTCACCTATTTGGAAAGAATTCGCAAATTACTTTTAAGGAATGATTTCTGCTTTTGATATAATACTGCGCCTCTAAAGACTCTTTGTACTTTAGGACTTGATAGTTATTTACTACTAGCAACAATTCGCGCGCTAAAGCGTGCGGCTAACTTCTTACATACATTTTTAAATAAAATTACCTATTTTAAAAAAATAGAACTTTAAAAACTTTTTTTTCATAAAAATAAAAAATATGAATTGGAATATAGATTATTACTATTATAACCACAATAGTCATATATTCTGAGACAGGGGATTCTAGAAAAAGTCAGATATTTTTTTTTAAAGTACTGAAAAAAATTAAATTTTTAGAATTCATAAGAAAATTCTGAATTTTTGTGTCTTTTTTGCTATGAAATCACCACGAATTCCAATACAAAACCTTATTAAATTTTTCTATTTCTGACAGTAATTTCTTGTTAAATAACTTCATTCTTGAAAAACTATCATACAATTATTACTTATAAATTACTTAATGAATAATTTTACTTACATATTTCAATATTAATTGACTTTTAAAAGAATTGTGTTTACAATTTTCGCATAACTAGATAAACTTCAAAAGGCTTTAATTTTAAACTTTAAAAAATTTCAATTTTTAATGAATTTAGGTACTTAGAAATTTTAAAAAACTTAGATTTTTGCAAAATGTTAATAATTCAAATTCTTCTTGAAATTAGTTAAATTTGTCAATATATATTCAATTAATTATTAAAAATAATGGATTTATAGAATAATGTTAGTTAAAAACATTTTAAAGAATTGAATTTTGGAGAAGTTATACCTAAATGATTGCAGAAATTCAATTATTTTCAAAAGTAATAAAGTTCTTCTTACAAAAGTTCAATTATGTTTAAAATTTTAAAAAAATTCTCTTCAAAATAACAATTAACTTTATAAATAACAGAATTCTTCTCCAAAATTCAATTATTTAAAAAAAATTTCCTGATTTCAATGATTTTTAATATCTACTATTTTATAATAAATTTCTTAAAAGAATTGAATTTTTTAATAAAAACGTTTATAAACATCAAACATTTACAAATTATTTTCATAAATAATAAAAACTAAAAAGGAATTAAATTATTTTCTTAATAAAGCTGATCGCAGAATTTTAATTATTTTTAGTACAATTTTAATCGAATTCCTCGAAAAATATAATTATTTTTAAAAATTTGATTAAAATTCGTCAAAAGAATTCAATTATTTAAAAATTTGTTGATAAAATTCTTTATAAGAATTAAATTTTAAAAAACATTCAATTATTCAATAAATTACTTACTTTTGTATTTAAAGAATTGAATAATTTTGAAAATGTTTCAAATTAAAATATTTGAAAATTTGAATTTTCTGTACTTTTAACCCTTAAACCACACACTGCCGAATCCATCCTTAAACCGCACACTGGGTGTGAGACACCCGGGAACTTTTAAGTGTGTTCTCCAAGCTGGAATAGGATATTATCTTTTGGAAAAATTATCTTATATAGCTCAGTACATCTATTTTGAAGGAAAATAAGTTTCATAATGATTTATTTAATTTTAATAATTAAAAAAGAGTTTTTTAAAACTACTGAAATTACCCTAAACCAAAAACTGGGTGTCAAACAAGCAGAAATTTTTCGCCGACAAATTCATAAAGTTATCAAATACACAAAGACACTTGGGAGACTAATGTCCCTCACGGAACATAAACTTAAGTACAAAATGTATCGTCCAATAACGACACATGTTCAATTTTTACGAATTTAACCGAAATATTAGAGTAAAAAGCTAGAATATGGGTGTCGCACACCCAGGGTGCGGTTTAAGGGTTAATTGACAATTTTGAAGAATTAATTTCTTTGAAAAAGTTTAATTTATTTTTTTTTTAAATAATTTGAAGTTACATGGTAGTAACATGGAAATTTTTCCAAATATGGGAATTTTTTCAAATTCTTAGACATTTTCCTATATTTTCCTAAGGAAATTTTCCTAAAAGAGAATTTTTTCAAATTTTTGGCGTTTTTTCTACACTATTTCATGAGAATGTTTCTAAATTCATAGGAAGTTTTCGATAATTTTTTAGAAAAATTCCCTTATTTAAGTTAGTAAATTTTTCTAAATAATTAGTGGAATTTGCTTCCTAAATTTTTTTCGGAAAATTTTCAAAATTTTTCTTACAATGTATTTAATTGAAGAACTTTCGAATAATCGATATTTCGTAAGATTGAATTTTAAAGAAATGTAGGGTAAATGTGGGTATTATCGAGGAATTTTGTATACGTCATACATCCAAGTATAGTTTAAAAATTATAAATAAATGTATATGGCTTTGTTTTTTTTTAAATGAATATTTAAGCTTTCTTTTCTTTAAAAAAAAATTGCCAATGTTATAGAAAATAGTTTTAATCGTTAAATAAATGATTAAATAGAAGACTCCTTTGCTTGTAATTTCGCGGGACTTGTAATGGCTTGAGGGTATTTTCGCGTGTCAAATATCGCGGATGAGTGTATTATCGCGTGGTAAATATCGCGGATAATTTATTTATTGCTTTTTGGATTTTTGTAATAGTTACTTAATTAAAATGTAGTGAATGTAAAAAATTAAAAGGAATAATAATATAGTTTTTAAAAATAAAAATATAAATATCTCAAGAACTTGAATTAAAAAAAATTTTAAGTATTATAATTTATAATAAATGGACGAATTCAATAGTAAACTAGTATCACAAGAAGAAAGATACTTGGTTTTATTATAATAATTTAATTAGTCTCAGAATATAAAATAATACTCTGATAAAATATTATAAAGCAATTATTACTAAATATTTCTAACGTATAGTCAATTCTCATCAATTGACATTCCTTTTTTATAGCTATTAAAATTTTTTTCCTTAAATATACAGATCTCACTTACTTTAATTTTTTTATCTTTTCCATTACTCTTTATTTTCTTGCTTGTATTTTGTAACTGTTATAAGATTTACTAAAATTCTGAACGTTCAAATAAATGAAATTTTTATTGTGTCTAAATGTGTTTAACAGTTACTGTGCAAAGTGGAAAAACAATGTTAATTCAACATTTATTTAGTTGAAAATTAATTTTTTTTTATATACATACAAAGTACTTTTATTAAAATATAAATTAAAACAAGCAAAAATAATATCGGCTATAATTTCAACGTTTTAAACTTTAGAGACACACTGCTAACCTTACTTTCAAGGGTTATTATGAAAGGAGCCGCGAAAATACCCACATGTTAAAAAAAGATGTCTCCATTATCGTGACTGTAAATATTTAATAAAAATCAATTTTTTTTAACTAAACAAATTTTTTTTATGAAGAATAACAATAAATTTACCAAAATATAAAAAAAGAATCATCTCTTAGAGTTTTATAGAACATAAAAACAATAATTTTTGACACCACTGTAGAGTTGAATCTCAAACCAAGGTGAGCTATTTTGAACTTTTTTCAGACAACAAATTTTAAAACATTTTTAATAAATTGATTAATAGAAAAATAATCAAAAATGTGATGCATATTATAATGTCTTAGTTGTCAGGTTCAAGGAGTGATTTTTTAGTGTCAAAAATTTTTTATATTATTTGAAATATTCATTAAAATATAAAATACCGCGATAATACCCACATCCGCGATAATACCCACTTTTACCCTATTTGCAAATTCTCAAAGAACTTTTTTAAAAATTATTAAAAAATAGTTGATTTAGAGAAGAATTTCAGTTAAAAATTCAAGAAAATAATAATCAAATTGAAATGATAAAAATAATTTTTAAGAAGTTACAGTCACAATAATATAAGATAATAATAATACTTTTATAAGTTGTTTAATTTCAAAAAGGTTTGAATTTGGCATTTTTAAAAATCTTAATTCCTGTGGAAAAATAATAATAATTTAATATTTATTTAAAAAAGAAGTTATTGATGTTTTCGAATAATTTTGCAATTTAAGGAATTCGTTAATAAAAATGTAAGATGTAACAGAACATTTTTTTAAATAAATTTTTTTCTTTTATTTTCTAAAAATTTAAAAATTTTCAATTTCATTTTTAATTAAAATTTGCAATTGACAAATAGAATTTATAAACACTTTTTTTCCCTCATTTTTAAAAGACTATGAATTTTATGGAGGCAATATTGTAATTAAGAAATGGAAATGATGCAAATTATTATTTTCTTATGAAAATATTTTTTATAAATAAAAAGCAAAAAAATTTGCATAATTTAGATCAGCCAAACAAAATTTGTTATAAAAAACATATAAAAAACAAAATTTATTTGTTTATAAATATGTAGAATCCATTTATTCTTGCTGTTTGGATGTTCTTTATCGAAAAGCCTTGTCACCACAACGGGGTCTGTCAAGAATATTCATGATTCTTGTCAGTGTATACATCCATCCTACCCTTAAATGTCTTACTACTTTTTGATAATAAATTGTAACTCACAGAAATAATAAATATAACTATTAACAGTCTTTTAATAGATTTGAAAATTTAACCCTACAATCGATTATTAAAATTTAAATTCGTTTGTTTTACAGTTCCTACATCGCATATTGTTGCTCTGGCCGGAGATTCCACATACCTGCCCTGTGACATATCAACAAATCATGAAGGGGATTCCGTACATCTTGTACTGTGGTATCGTGAAGATCTCGGATCGTCAGTGTCAATATACAGGTGAAAACTTTATTTTATACCTATTCTTCACGCTAAGATTTTTAATCTTTTTTTTTGTTAAATAGTAAAACTAAAATATTCAAAAAATATTCAATTCCCTTTTTCAATTACTGATATTCTTAAAATATAAGATAAAAGCCCTTTTATTATTTCCACTCGAACTTCACTTAAGTAAGATAAAAATTACATCGTCACAATACCTAAAGGAACAAAAAATAAGACATAAGTAAACGGAGGGCTAAAAAAAATGAAAATAACCGTGACAAAAAGAAGATGCTTCCTGAATCATCAATCTTATGGAAGAAGAAAAACTTTATTTCCCTAAGCTGACAGCTTTGCAATTTACTGTAAAAGATTCTTCGTAAGGTATTTTTTTGGAAGGACGGAACATGGGGTGTATAGCAGGCGGGGAGGATTGTGGAACGCGAACAAAATTACAGACGCTGAAAATGGGTGAATCTTGCGAATAGTTGACTGGGATAAAAGATATCTGCTGACTGGAACGTAAACGAGAACTTTCTCCGTATTCATCACGTATTCGAGAAACTTCTAATCTTGTTCCTGGAGCGAACTCGGTACTACTGTGAAAATCAACAGCGAGTGAGGGGAAAAAAAGAGAAGAAGGAACGAGACAAACTCTCGAGAATGTAAGCGTAGAAAAAAGTCTTCAAACTGAAAGCTTTTGGTATGCTATACCGAAGAGTCCTCGATGCCAGAAAATTAAAAAACTACGCCAGCTAGCAACTGATTGAATTCAACGATCTTCGTTCTCCTACCTTGTTTTCTATATATTGACGTTTTTAAATCGGATGTTTACAGAATCAGAAATTTTTCTTTTTTTTTCCTACTTGCTCGCAACTATGGGAAAAGAAAAATATATGAAAAAAAGGGTAAATTTAATTGAATACATTTCCTTTTCAGAAAAACAAAAACAGTGAGAGATAATTTGTAGGTATTAATAGAATATTAATAGAGTTTTTACTTGAATTGATGAAAATTAAATTAGCTAATATATTTGGGTCCCGATTCTAGCACTTCTTTTAAAATTTAACTAGCAACAATTCGCGCGCATCAGACATCTCACTCACTTTTTTAAATAAAATTAGCAATTTTAAAAATAATATAATAGAACGCAAAAATTTTTAATTAAAATTTTTTTTTTATAAAAATAAAATATGAATTGGAATATTATATAGTTTTAATATTATTATAAAAATAATAATTATATAGCCTGACATAGCGAATTCATGGAAAAGTCATGAATTTTTATTAAAAGTACTGAAAAAAATTTAATTTTTAGAATTCATAAGAAAATTTTGAATTTTTGTGTCTTTTTTGTTTGACTCATAAATACTATAAAATTACCACGAATTCTAATACAAAGCCTTCAATTTTTTCAATTTCTAACAAAAATTTCTTTTCAAATAACTTAAATCTTGAACAACTGTCATAAAATAAATAAATTATTTAATGAATAATTTTACTTAAATATTTCAAAATTAATTTAATTTGAAAAGAGTTGCTTTTACAATTTTCTTAAATAAATGAACTTCGAACGGTTTCAAATTGAAATTTTCTAAAATTTCAATGTTGAATGAATTTAATTAAAAATTTTATAAACATAGATTTTTGAAAAATTTTAATAATTCAAAATATTCTAAAATTAGTTAAATTTGTCAATATATAGGGTAAATGCACTAGTAGTCGGACACTTAAGGATACAATCTTAAATTATGCTTTTTTTCTTGAAATAGCAAATATCTACTGTGTTTATAAGCACATTATTAATTAAAGGAGTTCTTCAGGATTAAAAATCATATAAATTTGTTACAAATAGTTGAGTATTTAATAAAATATAAACATTTTAATAAAAAATTACGAATGCTTTAGTAGTCGGACACTTTTTCCCCTTGTTTCTATAGTCGGACATCTGTCAGATATTTTGAATTTATAAAGTAAAAAAGATAATTTTTTAATTGCTATCTGCTGGAAAATGGAATTAAAGCATATTAGAAGTTATTAATATAATATTTAAACCCTATAAGTTTTAATATTTATGATTAATTATCAACAAAACTTTGTGCCACTCATCGCGCTACTCGAAAATGGTTGTATCTATAGTCGGACACCATGATTTTTAAAGCATTAAATAAAATATTTCTTGTTTAATTATTTTTGAAAATAATACTATTTTAATAAAATATAAACTTCACACATTCGTCTAGTATACTTTTTAAAGCAATTATCACAATGCATTATTATTTATTTGTCAAAAAACACGAAAGTGTCCGACTACTAGTACTGTCCGACTATACCCGCACTTACCCTATATTTAATTATTTATTAAAAATAATAACACTAAAAAAATGAATTTGGAAGAAGTTACAAATAATTGGAGAAATTCAATTATTTTCAAACCTAATAAAATTCTTATCACAAAATTCAATTATGTTCAAAATTTACACAAAAGCTCGACAAAATTAACAAAATAAACAATTATTATCTTTATAAATAAAAAAATTCTTCTTCAAAATTCAATTATTTTCAAAAAAATTTCATAAAATCTTGTCTAAATTTCAATTATTTTCAAAAATTTTCCTCATTTCAATGATTTTCAAAATCTACTATTTTAATAAAATTACCCAAAAGAATTCAATTATATAAAAACAATTTTAATAAAATTCTACGCAAACATTTGATTATTTTGATAAATAATAAAATTTTTACAGGAATTCAAATATTTACCAATTTTTTATAAGTTTAATTATTTTCAGAAATAATAAAACTCATCGCAGAATTTCAATTATTTTGAATACAATTTTAATCAAATTCCTTGAAAAATGTAACTATTCTAAAATTTTTTATTAAAATTCGTCAAAATAATTCAATTATATTTAAAAATTTGTTAATAAAATTCTTTATAAGAATTAAATTTTAAGAAACATTCAATTATATTTAAAAATTTGTTAATAAAATTCTTTATAAAAAATAAATTTTAAGAAACATTCAATTATTTAATAAATAATTTACTTTTGTATTTAAATAATTGAATTCTCGTAGAATTTTCTAATAAAAATTGATTTGAAAATGAATTTTATTTTAAATTTTAGATAATAATAGAATATGAAAGTAATTTTTAAGAATTTACAGTAACAATATTCTTATATAATATAAAATAATTATTTCAACACTAGATTCTTTTTAATTATTATAAAACACGAAAAAATCGATCTCCAAATCGAAGACTCGTAGTGATCGTTATCTTTATGTTTTATAACAATATTTTTAAAGTTGATTATTTTCAGAAAGGTATGAATTTGAAATTTTTGAAAATCTTAATTCCTATGGAAAAAAATAATAATTAAATATTTAAAATATTTAAAAAAGAAATGATTGTTTTCGAATAATTTTACAATTAAAGATATTCGTAAATAAATTTAACAGAACATTTTTTTCAATAAAATTTTTTCCTTTATTTTCTAAAAATTAAAAAATTTTCAGTTTCATTTTCAATTAAATTTTCTAATTTGCAAATATAATTTATAAACATTTTTGCCCTTTATTTTTAAAAAACTTTGAATTTCATTAAAACAATTGAAATTAGGAAATAGGATTGTTGCAAATTATTTCCTTATGAAAATTGAGAATTTCAAACTGTCAAGCAATAAAATTAAAAATAAAAAAACGCCATTTGCACAAACAAAATATTTATAATATTGGAATATTAAAATAATTTCAATAATATATTAGAAATTTTTCGAAATATTAATTATATGGACTTTACTTGAATTAAACGATTTTCAAAAAAAATAAAGAATTAAAAAAATATTCTCCTCTTATTTGAATTATTCTAATCTGGTAAACTTTCAAAGCTTGACGATAAATATTTTTAAGTAGTAAAAGTGAAAAAATCCTTTTTAACATTTTTATTTTTAAAAAGCTTGAAAAACTAAAGAATTTAAAGTATATATTTAATAGGAGGGTTATTAGCACTTGGAGAAAAGTGAATTAATTTAAAAGGCGTATAAAATGTCAGAGTAAGTGAAACATATAAAAGAGTCAGTCACGCTCTCATTCAATGAAGTTAAATTTATTCTCAAGTTTAAATTATAAATTAAATCTGTTTCTCTAAACTGTCACGTTGTTTTCAGTTTAACCTTTTAGAACTTTTCCCACATTCCTTTATATACATACAACATATATTCCTAATAAAGTTTTCATCACAACTTCATATTACCCGTCAGTTATACCTAAGTGTGTGACATATTTAAATTATATATATTGTATTAAATAATGAACTGTTAAGTTTTTTAATTAAAATGAAAAAGTTTTATTATCGTTCAACTAAATGTTTTCTTTTAGTTCCACTTTTTTGTTAGGAAATAATACATATTTCTACACAAAGAAAGCACTTAAAGTTTGTTAAGATTGGTAAAAGAAATGTTGATAAAAATGTTTCAAAGTCTTAATACGATTTCAAAAATATATTAATTTTTAAAAAACCCAACCAGTGATGTAATAGAGTATTGAAAATTTAAGCAAATTTATATGTTTCCGGAGGATAAAAATTATAATTATATAGTTTACATTAAACTTAACATTGCTTTTATTTCTTATAAAGCGTCAAAGTAAAAAGTAATTTTTTGAAAAATAAATGCTAAGGCAATACAGTTTCTTTGCAAGATGAAACTGAATCTCATTGTGAAGATAAAAGATAAGTTTCGAGTTTCAGTAAACTTATATAGACTTGCTTTTTCAAAGGTAGCAGGGATTAAAAAGTAAAGTAAATTATTTTTTACTATAATCCTCTAGTAAACTTTACAAATTTTCAGCCCTCTTGTAAGACTCCATCCTTTGAAATCTAGGTTCTCATTAATAATTCCTGAAATTTTTGTACCTGAGAGATTTCTTTTAGCCGAACTGTTCCTTTTTCGGACTATTTTTGTATTCCAGCTGTATTTAATATTTTTCGGATCACTTGATTCGTGGTGCGGTTTTTATTTATCAGTTCGTGTTATTCGAAATAATGCACCGATCTAGTAAATGTCTAGTAAATGTCCAAAAAATTAGTGAAATAAAAGTTTACCAAGTAAAATTTATAACTAAAGTTTTAATATTGAATTGTAAGAAATATAAAATTTATTTTAATGATTCACATAAGCAACTGATGAAATCCAATTATTCGTCTTTATAAAAAATTTCTATTTGAAGCAATTTTAAGATCTTTGAGTATTTTATGAAGCTGTTAAGTGGTTTTAAAGTAGAGAAAATTCAAATCTTTCAAAAATATATACCGACATTTTAATCCAATAAATAATATCCAAAATATTTTACAAATCCGTTAAGTAATTTAGCCTCCCGCGTAAAAAAATGTTGGCTCGCTCAAAGCTCGCTTAAGGCTCGAGACTTGGTTGAAGCTAAAAATTCTCCTAAAGCTTAAGGCTCGATCAAGGCTCGAGACTTGGTTGAAGCTAAAAATTCATCTGAAACTTAATACTCGCTGAAGGCAAATAAAAATTTGGAATAATGTAATCTTGGTTGTCCTTATTTGAATTTTTATGTCTAATTATCTAAAATATGTAGTTATTTTTTAAGCTGAAAATTTCTTCACTGTTTAAGGCAGAAATTATTTTTGATTTAAAAATTAAGACTATTCTCTTAATAAAGATACAAATTTTACGTTCAATGATTATTTTTTAATTTAACCAAGTCTCGAGCTTTAAGAGAGCCTTCAGCGAGTCTTAAGTTTTAGGTGAATTTTTAGCTTCAACCAAGTCTCCAGCCTTGAGCGAGCCAACATTTTTATACGCGGGTAGTTCTAGATGAATTTTTAGCTTCAACCAAGTCTTGAGCCTTGAGCGAGCCTTGAGCTTGAGGATTATTATTTTTAACTTCAACCAAGTTTGGAGCCTAGGGTGAGCATTAAGCTTTAGGATTATTTTTAGCGTTAACTAAGTCTCGAGTCTTAAGCTTTAGGATTATTTTTAGCTTCAACCAAGTCTCGAGCCTTGAGCGAGCCTTGAGCTTTAGGAGATTTTTTAGCTTTAACCAAGTCTCGAGCTTTAAGAGAGCCTTCAGCGAGTCTTAAAAGTTTTAGGTGAATTTTTAGCTTCAATTAAGTCTTGAGCCTTGAGCGAGCCTTGAGCTTTGGGGGAATTTTTAGCTTTTTCCTAAAATATATATAGAGATTTTAACCCATTTAATAATATTCCAGAGTATCTTGCAAATTCATTTATTAGTTTAGGCTCTATGTTTGTCTAAATGTTAAAAAGTCCCTATTTTTTCAGTTTTCTTTCCTTAAATTCTATAAAAGTATCAAAAAATATTGAATAAACTTAACAGAATTCTTTTATTTTATTATTTTAAAATCCAAAAAAAAAAAATTGAGCAAAATCGGTTAAGATTTACTTGAGTTATTGGATTTTATCTATAAACAGTCGATATTTTGAGAATATATATTCGCGGTTTTTACTTTTCACTTGACGGCGATTCTCTACCACGAATCTTGATACACTAAAATTAATATTTACATACCTAATTGTTTTTAAATTCTCAATTGAATATATGTAAATGAAATCAAAGAAATTTTTAACCAAATAGATCGCATTTCACATTACTATAAAGTATTCCACTATTTGCTGAAATCACTTTAGATTACTCGAGAATGAACGCAAGGAAAGAAGGAGTTGCCCTCGGAGTAAGTTTCTTAAAGGAAGTGATGGATCCCCGCGAATTTCTCGAGAAAATAAAAGTAGAAAACTTGATGGGTCAAGTAGAAGGAGTGAGGAGTCGGTAAGTGGAGAGAGTACTGGGGGGGGGCGAGTTTAGAGTGAAGAGGTTAGAAAAGAAGAGGAGTCGAGTTTGGATGGAAAAGATTGTTGGAGGTAACGGATTGCAATGCTCTAGGGAATCTAGTGACTCACTGTGAAGAAACTATAGGTCGCCGTCTGTCCACTAAGAGTTGTACCCAGTTGCCGACTAGTTCTGCACTTAGTTGAACGCCTGCGGGCCACAACTTGCACTTGAGTGCCGTGTCTCGAAGGATTTTCTTGTGTCGAAATACACCTGCAAGTGGTAAGTAACTGTTGAGCTTTGCCAGCTACTTTTACAAAGCGACTAATTCAAAGTAGCTAGCGACTTTTGCTCCCAACGATACCTTGTATTTATGGCACTTGTACAAACTTAAGTTTCGTACAGCGTAATTGTAGTGGGAGTTGTGAAAAAGGCAAAAACCCCCTCTTGCTCCATTTCCTCCTCATCGTGCAAAAAGAAGGAAAACTATCAAGAGAGAGAGAGAGAGAGAGAGAGAGAGAGAGAGAGAGAGAGAGAGAGAGAGAGAGAGAGGACAAACTGGAACACTGGAAGTGAGAAAGATGAAAAAAAATTGAAGGCAACAAATCTTCATGTACCTTGCACTGGAATGTAATTAAGAAGAGTGTCTCGTCGACGTTGCTTGCAGTGTTGCCAATTTCGACTAAAATTCACCTCCTTTATACCGAGTTGCTCTCCACTGTAAAACGAAGCAAGACACCATCTTGGCTTTAGTAGTTGAAAGCTCAAGAGTCAAGAATATTGTTAAAAATAAAGACCAAAAAAAGTGAGTCGCTTTACTCTCAAATATTAAAGTCGTTTGAAAATAAAATTAAATTAAAATTTTCGAGTTCAACTTTCACCTTGGTGAGGAACTTTCTAAATTTCTGGAAAATTGAGTTAAAATAGTTGGGAGAAGAAAATGAAAAGGTTATGATGTAATTTTTACCCTACTTCCACACCATCTCTTTTTCACTGTCTTAAAGTTTAAGCACAAAAAGTGAAACGTGACGAACATTTTGATTGACTTAACAGCATGTTCATTTTTAAAAAGTTAGTTTTTTACCGAATCTGTTAATGTCTGGTGAATCTTCATTATATCCAAGATAAGATAAAAAAAATTATTGAAGAACTAAAGTTTCTCAAGTCCCCAGGGGAAAATGTTAGTTATACCGAGAAATATGCTTCTGCTATTTGATAAAATTGTGTTAATACAATATTCTCGATAGGAAAGTTTTCCTCTTATCATTCAACAAAACTAGTAGATCATAACGTTTCACTTTCATATTGAACAGTGGACAATAAGTGTATTGATTAACTACACAGGTAGATAATTTCTAGGGAATTAGTTTTTCAATGTTTCAAACAAAAATTTGTTTATAACCACAAACTGTCAAGTAATGTTCTAAGAATTTAAAAACAAATATATCATCAAATTTATTATCATTAAAATCTTACACATATTGACTATTTTGATAATTATTAAGAGTACACAGATTTTCCATAAGACACCAGAGGGTTGCCTATTAAACTATGAAATAAATTTCTCCAACTTTTCCAATCGATAATATCGTTAAGTACTTGAAAGACGATTAAAAGCATTATTTTTAATGTGTTTGAACAGAATAAATTTAATTTTCTAAACGGGAAAACTTTATTAATTGAATAATTCATTATGATGCGCAGAAAAATATGATGACAATAATAATTCAATTTACCTAGAAAGTTATTTTATAAAAGCATAAGTTAGAAATTAGATAAATTTATTTTTTAAATTAATTGTTGGAAAAATTTTTTACGGTAGATATAATAAAAAAGGATGTTTGAAACTCGGGACCTTTAGCTTTTTTATATTGTTAAAAAAAATTTTATACAATTTGTACGGTCATTTATCAATAAAAAGTATGTTATATAATATAAATTTTTATAAGCTTGATTGAGATTTAGATGTCAATAAATATTATCACAAAAGCTAAATTACTCCTGATTATAAATTAATAATTTATTTGTTTAATTTCAGTATCGATGCAAGGGAAAAAGGTGTCGGATACGCGGAAAAATGGTCCGACGAGTCGGTTTTCTCAGGTCGGGCATATTTTATGCCAGAAAGGAATCCTGCGGAATTAGGGGTGGATCGCATTAGAGTAGAGGATGCCGGTATCTACAGGTGTCGTGTTGACTTTCAAATTGGTCAGACACGCAACTCCAAAGTCAATTTAACGGTTATAGGTAAGTGAACTGACGACAAAAGCAACTTTGAAACTTAAACTTCTAAATGACTTTGTAAATTCTTCATTCTGTAAGGATTAATTTTCTATACATGAAAAATCAAGAACCTGACAATACTTGAGTTTGTCTCAAATGGAGATCTTATCAAAGTTATTTAATGATGGTCATTGAATGTGTTCAGAATAAATTTTTGCGATTTATGGCTAGACAAACCGGTATTCCAGTTGATTACTTAAATAAATTTTAAAAACATTATTTGTTCTTTTATTATCACAAAAATAATATGCTGATATATTACTTTTATTTAAAATTATCAATATAGCTTAATTAATTGCCCTTGTTTACTTTGCTTATTTAATTTATATGTGCCTCAGAGATCTGCAAGATATCTACAATTGTTCAGTGACAATTCAATGGTTAATAAGTTGCGAAAAGAGGCAAATGAGCTTTGCAGTTTTATTGATTTCTTTGGCATGTCACTCAATATAATTATAAGCAAATTGCGTTCCCATGTATATATACATGACAATAACTAGAATCATATTAATGCGGTAATCTAAGTTTCTTGTAAAAGTTTATTAATAGTTTATCAGTACTTTGTACGAATGGGGACATTGCCCGCATATATTCTTGAAAAAATAAATAGAAGTTAAATTCGTCATTTGTCAATTAAGTGAATATTTTACAACTTAATGGGAAGTTAATTAAAATCCTCAGAACTCTTTTAGGATTCATTTAAATGCTACGAATTAAAAATTTAAGTTTAAATTTATCATTTCCATTAACTCCCCTCTTTGGTCATCAATTTTTTAATTATATTCAATTTTCTCACTATGGCTAGTTAATATAGAAGTAAATTAAAAATTTAGCCTCGAAGGCTAAAGTCTTACGATAGTTCCGAGGGTGGGTAAAGATCTCCAAAAGAAGGGTTTCGGGTTTTAGTGGGTCGACAGTTTATAAAACATGATATTTCTTTATTTATTTAATTTTAATTTCTTTTTTATTATACCAACTCTACATAACCTTGGAGTGCGGAATCCAAGGTATCTATTATATGCAGATTTCCCAAAATTCCCTAAGCAAAAATGAAAAATTTATATTTTCAAAACAATTTGCGATTAATCAAATTAAAATTGGTCAAACTGGAAACTTATTTTTTTTCATTCTTAACGTCCGGTTAATCTTGAAAACGCAAAAGTTGGAGTTAAAAGATCTGTTCAACATTTTACTGTGCACTTAAGGCTGACCCTAAACGATTCCCAAGTGACGACTTCCACAGAAACCTCGGGGAAATAAAATTCCGACTTTGTTTTAAAGCCCTCTATTTCTGTTCGAGCTTAACTTTTAAGCTCGCATTGAAATACGTACCTACTTAAGACACTGGTCTTCTCAAAAGCCCTACAACAAAAGAGTCTTCAAATCTGGAGCAAGTTTTTGCCACTGTGACTCACTTTTCATTCGCATATTTTTTCTCATCTTTCTTTATGAGATTATTCCTTTACTACTAATTTTCAGTTGATTTATTCATATTTAACAATTCCATTTTTAATTATAATCCATATTAACTTAATCTGTAATTTTTTTCCTCCTAAAAATACTTTTTCAATTTTTCTGTTCTGATTTTTCATTTTTTTTTTTCAACGAAAATGGAGTAAAAAATTATCAATAAATACGATAATGAAATGTTTTATCATCCTCTTCTATACTTTAACCCATTTTTCCGCATGAAAAAGAAAAAAATTCACTCGCAACAATTTTATGATCATATCGTCAAAATACGAGTTTAAAATTATTTGTGTATTATTTATCGTTATTTTATGTTCAGGGCTCCCATAAAACTGGCCTTAGAACGTAAAACCAAAGAGTGGAATTGATCCTACAACTTTTTTTTTATCACCATGTAACACATTAGAAAGATATCGAAATAATAACTTACACAAGTACTTCCTCACGATAAAACAGAAATGATGGTTAGAAAATTGATCAATTTTATAGACATTGAAACAATTTAGGACATAATTTACCGGAAAATCAAAAAGATAAGTTGAAAATATTTTAATTCTTGGCAATTTTATTACAAAGATTTTCTACAAGAAAAAATGTTGAAACAAAATAAAATTCCTATACACAAATGGAAATACTTGATCAGAACAATGTTTAGAGAAACAATTAGATTTTAATTGACAGTTTGCGATTATAATCAGAAGTATTATACTGATGCTATTTGGTCGAACACCTGAACGAGAATAAATTACCTCTCTTGAGTGCTCGACGATTTATTGTCGACTAGCGGTAAACCAGAAATTTGAGTTATCATGTTCCTTGCCGATCACTGGAACAAACTTTTATTGAAGAAAATATTTTCTATTCTTTTCAAAACACAATTGTTATATGAAAATTACCATCTAGAACACTTAATAATTCCGAGTTAACAACAATGAATGTCTGAAATTGCCGTAAATTCAAAACACTTAAAATTCAATGTTTCACAATTGCGGGATTCATATTGCAGAAGGATTTTTTTGTTTTTTTTTTTTAACTGAAAAAAAGGAGAACCGAGGCAACATTTATCAAAGAACAAACCGAAATAATGCAAGTTTTGTAATAGGGGAAAATTTGTGGCGGAAAAATTGCGAAATATTTATAAAAAGCAAACGTATGATAATGGACAATTTCGTTTACAATTGCATACAATAGGAAATGGAGAAATGTCGGTATTTTTCTCCATTTAAGTTTCGCAGAGAGTGTAACGTAACTAAAATGTACGTACATACATAGAAAAAAAGAGAGAGAGAGAGAAAGAGAGAGGGAAAAGTGTTTTAACCAGAAGTTTCACGAAAAATCCACACAGTCAACCTCAAACCATCACCGAATGGTTGGGCCGTGGTATAAAAGCAGAAACCTCATTTCTAGTGACTCGAGTGTGCATTATGAAAAATTCATGCGGAAACCGAGTAGCAGGTCGACGAGTATAAAAATAATAATAATAGTAATAAAAAAAAGTTCATAGTCGACAATCCAAAACAAGACGAATAAGAAAATAGAGCATTTAAAAATCTTTCGTAAAGATTTTTCTCATTCTTTCATTCCGTCTCCCTCCCCTCTTTCTCTAACCCCTTTTCTACTATCAACACAGAAAAAAAAGAGGAAAATCCTTTTCATCATTTTTCGTTTGTAATTTATAGGAAAAATGGTAAAAATTAAAGGGGGAAATATTTGTTTTCCCTCCATTTGTTTTTAAGTTAATTAATATCCTTTGAGGAAATATTTACTTATTCGATAGATTCTCCTATTATCGAAGCATCACAGCGGGTGGTGTTTTGCTGTTTTAAAACATTCTGTTTTACCGATAGCCGATAATGAATCATCGACCACTAGAGAGGTCGCTTATAAGCAACAGATTGTCCATTTAATTTTCATTACCGGGGTTAAACGGTTAATGAATAGAACGCATTTCAAATAACGTCACCTATTATTTATTAATAGTTTTTAAGTTACTATTTTCTGAAAATTTTAATTTTCGCTTTATGACTCCAGCAGTATTTTGCATATTTTTATTTAATTCATAAATTTTTAACAAAGATAGTAAATTCCGTATTTAAAAGTATAGATATTTGACGGTGATTAAAAATAAAACGTACAGTCTTTAATTTTTTTTAGAAAAAAAAGAAACATTTTCTCATAACGACTATAAATTAATTATGCGATCGTAGCACGTGCAGGTAAAAAGGTAATTTTAAAATGTGCACAATTTACATTCAAAGGGAGAAAAAAGAGACTTGACTCTCATAATGACTAAATCGAAAATTATAATAATTCCGCTCTCGTGTAACGAGCGCGATTTCATTTGTGATTTGTGAACGTAAGCGTCGAAGTGTAGAGCGTGTGTGGTTTTAATTATTCAATTTACCCTGCGCTCATCATTCAAGTAAAAAAGAATTAGTGAATTCTAAAATTTTCTACCGCATTCAAGCATCTTCGAAGTGGAGTTGTTACATTTTTCACTATTCCACTCCTTTATGGACAGAAACATAATTAAATTGTTAAAGTTTACAATGATGAAGAAGGTGAATAAACTTTTATTTATCCTACGAATTTAAGAAAAATTCTATATTTTGTACTTACAAGATTTTTATATATAAATACTTAAACATTACGTAAATTTAGTTTTTATAAATTGAAAATCAATATGCCATTCAATAATAAAAATTTTAATTATTCAAAAGTCACAAATTGGTTGTAAAATTTAATGAAAGTTTCAATAATTTAATTGCTTGACAATCACAGACTTTTTGTATCAAATCCCTATTTCATTTCCATTTCAATAAAATTAATGTTTAATTTACTTTTTCTCTGTATAGCAGATTTCCAAATAAAATGGTTGGAAAATAAATTAATTTTTAAAGAAGTTTAATTAAGAGTTATAAAATTTTTTATAAAATTTATAAAATTAATTAACTTTTATTGGAAATTGTGCAAAGATCGAGCGATTAAATTTTAATATGCCAGTTAATAATTTGGTATACTTTTGTTCAATATTTCTTTCTGGGTAAAATATAAAAAATTGTAGAATTTAATGTTTTCGATAGATAGAGATTTTAAATTTAAAGAAAATGTGAGTTTGTGTAAATTTAGAATTATGTAGGTTGATAATTTTGAAAATGGAAATGCTTTACATTGGTACGTAAATATAGTGATGGAGAGTTTACTTAGATCTCGAGGGAGATCCTAGTAGTATTTTCGTCTCACTTGTATACCAGGACATCTTCTGGGACATTTACATTTTACACAAACGTCCACGTAACACTCCAAGGTGACATCCTCTGAAACCGACGCTCATGTGGGATTATCCAATGACAAGACAAATGTACAAATGAGAAACATACTGAGAAAAATCTTTCTTACATTTACTTTCGTATCGTTTTTTTCCATTTTATTTCAATATTCCAATTTGGATTTTCACATGTTATTGGAAATTTTTCTTTTTCCCTGCTGAAATT